ACCATTTATTAGTCATCTTTTATATATCAGTCATGATATATAAAACTTTTACATAACTTATTTATCATAAAATCTACAAGACAGGTATTACTATTTCCATTTAAGAAATGAGGAAGCAAGTGCCCATCATCAGATGAATGGATAAATTATGATACATACACACAATGGAATACTACAAAACGATAAAGAACAATGATGAATCCGTGAAACATCTCACAACATGGTTGAATCTGGAGGGCATTATGCTGAGTGAAATTAGTCAGTTGCAAAAGGATAAATATTGCATGAGACCACAATTATTAAGAACTCAAGGAAAAGTTTAAACACAGAAGAAAACATTCTTTGATGGTTACGAGGGTGGGGAGGGAGGGAGAGGGGAATTCACTAACTAGGTAGTAGATAAGAATCATCTTAGGTGAAGGGAAGGACGGCACACAATACAGGGGAAGTCAGCACAACTGGACTAAAGCAAAAACTAAGAAGTTTCCTGAACATAACCAAACACTCTGAGGGACAGAGTAGCTAGGGCTGGGGTCTGGGAACCATGGTTTTGGGGAACATCTAGGTCAACTGGCATAACAAAGTTTATTAAGATAATGTTCTGCATCCCACTTTGGTGAGTGGCGTCTGGGGTCTTAAAAGCTTGGAGCAAAGGAGAATGAAGAACACCAAAGACACAAGGGAAATATTAGCCTAAGAGACAAAAGGGCCACATAAACCAGAGACTCTATCAGCCTGAGCCAGAAGAACTAGATGGTGCCCAGCTACCACCAGTGACTGCCCTGACAGGGAACACAACAGAGAGTCCCTGAAAGAGCGGGAGAAAAGTGTGGAGCAGAACTCAAATTCACATAAAAAGACCAGACTTAATGGTTTGTCTGAGACTGGAGGAACCCCTGAAAGCCATGGCTCATGGATGTTCTATTAACCTAGAACTAAAACCATTCCTGAAGCCCACTCTTCAAAGATTAGACTGGACTATAAAACATAAAATAATGCTCGTGAAGAGTGTGCTTCGTAGTTCAAACAGACACACAAGACCAAATGGGCGGCTCCTGTCTGGAGGCAGGATGAGAAGGCAGGAAGGGACAGGAAATGGCTGAATGGACACAAGAAACTCAGGGTAGAAAGTGGGAGTGTGCTGTCACATTATAGGGATTGCGACTAATGTCACATAACAATATGTGTATAAATTCTTGTATGAGAAATTAACTGGAGCTGTAAACTTTCATCTAAAGCACAACAAAAAAAGAAATGAGGAAGCAGATGCTTAAAAGAGGTTGGACAGCTTTTCTAAGACTATACATGGTAGGTAAGTTCAGAACCAGGTCTGACTACAGGGCATGGTTTTTTTACTGCATGCTACCACTATTTCTCTCTTTCCTCTTCCTTCTTCACCAAACTCTACAAATAAATATAAAACAATTTACTAAAAGAGATAGGTTGCTATTGCTAAGACAAAACCCTGTGCTAGATTCTGGGAATACAGTAGTAAGCAAGATTCAGGACAATTCTAAGCAACTTCCTCAGGCCTTCTGATTTGGTGGTATTAGGTTCTCTTACTAGGCTTTTTTGTTTTTGTTTTTAAATTGCTTTGACTTGTGAAGCAGGCTGGACATGCTAAGAGATTATTACCTTGCTTTAGGCAATGCTGGGTGCCTCTGTTGTTAAGTGCTTCCTTATTCATTACCCAGCTTTCGCTACCTGACCAACTGACTGGAAGAGATCCATATTTGTGTCCATTCCAAAGAAAGGCAATCCAACAGAATGTGTAAATTATTGAACAATATCATTAATATCACACACAAATAAAATTTTGCTGAAGATTATCCAAAAATGATTGTAGCAGTACATTGACAGGGAATGCATGCATACAAGGCGATTGAAAATACCATGGCTTGGGTCAGGTGCACCTTAGTCCTCCAAATGACATGCTTTTTTAACACTTTAAAGAGGTCTTTTGCAACAGATTTTCCCAGTGCAATACATTGTTTGATTTCTTGACTGCTGCTTCCATGGGTGTTGATTGTGCATCCAAGTAAAACAAAATCTTGACAATTTCAATATTTTCTCCATTTATCATGATGTTGCTTATTGGTTCAGTCGTGAGGATTTTTGTTTCCTTTATGTTGAGATGTAATCCATACTGAAAGCTCTGGTCTTTGATCTTCATCAGTAAGTACTTCAAGTCCTCTTTGCTTTCAGTAAGCAAGGTTGTGTCATCTGTACATTACACGTTGTTAATGATTCTTCCTCCAATCCTGATGCCCTGTTCTTCTGCACATAGTCCAGCTTCTCGGATTATTTGCTCAGCATACAGACTGAATAAGTATGGTGAAAGCATACAACCCAGGCAAACACTTTTCCTGATTTCAAACTATGCAGTATCCCCTTGTTCTGTTCGAACGACTGCCTCTTGGTGTACGTACTGGTTCCTCATGAGTACAATTAAGTGTTCTGGAATTCCTATTCTTCAAAATGTTATCCATAATTTGTTAAGATCCACACAGTTGAATGCCTTTAGATAGTCAATAAAACACAGGTAAACATCTTTTGGTATTCTCTGCTTTCAGCCAAGATTCATCTGACATCAGCAATGATGTCCCTTGTTCCATATCCTCTTCTGAATCCAGCTTGAATTTCTGGCAGTTCCCTGTTGATGTACGGCTGCAACTGCTTTTGAATTATCTTTAGCAAAATTTTACTTGTGTGTGATACTAATGATATTGTTAGATAATTTCCACATTCTTTTGAAAATCATCTTTCTTTGGAATGGGCACAAATATGGCTCTCTTCCAGCTGGTTGGCACAGTAGCTGTTCTCCAAATTTTTTGGCATAGACGAGAGTGCTTCCAGTGTTGCATCCATGTGTTGAAACATCTGAATTGGTACTGCCTCAATTCCTAGAGCCTTGCTTTTTGCGAATGCCTTCAGTGCAGCTTGGACTTCTTCCTTCAATACAGTTCTTGATCATAGGCTACCTCCTGAAATGGTTGAATGTTGATCAATTCTTTTTGGTCAGTGACTGTGTATTCCTTCCATCTTCTTTTCACGCTTCCTGAATCGTTTAACATTTTGCCCATAGACTCCTTCAATGTTGAAACCCGATGCTTGACTTTTTTCTTCAGTTCTTTCAGCTTGACAAATGCTAAGTGTGTTCTTTTTGGTTTTTTAACTTCAGGTCTTTGCACATTTCATTATAGTACTTTGTCTTCTCAAGCTGCCGTTTGTAATTTTCTATTCAGCTCTTTTACTTCATCATTTCATTTCACTTTAGCTACATTCAAAAGCAAGTTTCAGAGTCTCTTCTGACATCCATTTTGGTCTTTTCTTTCTTTCCTTTTAAATGACTTTTTGCTTTCTTCTTGTATGATGTTTTGACGTCATTCCACAACTCATCTGGTCTTCGGTCATTAGTGTTCAATGTATCAAATCTGCTCTTGAGATGGTCTCTAAATTCAGGTGTGATATACTCAAGGTTGTATTTCGGCTCTTGTGGACTTTTTAGTTTTCTTCTGCTTCAACTTGAACTTGCATATGAGCAATTGACGGTCTGTTCTGCAGTTGGCCAGTGACTGGAAAGATTTGCTTCTAACATCTTGCCTTTGAAGCATAATGCTTACTGTGAATTGCTAGTAGATACCTACTTTTAGTTCTGCTCTACAAGCCTTTATCACAAATGTGTTTTGAATTTTATGAAAAGATTTTTCTCAAACTGTTGAGAATATCATCTGAATTTTCTCCTTTAATGTCAATTCATTGATAGATTTTTCTGATGTTAAAACAACCTTGAATTCCTGAAATATAACCAGTTTTGATGATTTATGATGTTTTTATGAATATCACCTGGATTCAGTTTGCCAATACTTTCCTTAAATTTTTTGCATCTAAATTCATGAGTGGATTGGCCTGTACTTCTACTTTACTCTTATCTGATTGTGGTATCAAAGTTATTGTGGTATTATAAAATGTGTTGAGAAAAGTGTTCCCTTTTTGTGTTGTCTGAAAAACTCTTAGGACTGAAATGATCTTCTTACCTGTAAAACTGCCTGGGTCTGGTGTTTTCTTTGTGGGAAGACTGTGTACTACTGATTCAGTTTCTTTATATGTTAAAGGACTTTCCGGTTATTACCCTTTAAACCATTTCTCTTAATAAATATTTTCTAGGAATGTGTTCACTTTGTTTTAAATTTTATTGGTATAAAATATCCATATTATTCTCATAGGACACAGTAGAATTTTCCCATAGGGTTTCCAAGGCTGTAATCTTTACAGAAGCAGGATGTCACATCTTTCTCCCATGAGTGGGTGACCTTTCAGTTAGCAGCAGAGCACTTAACCATTGCACTACCAGGGCTCCTTATTCTCTTTTTAATCTTGAGGCAGTATCTGTAAAGTGTCCCTTTCATTCCTAAAATTTATTTGTGCCTTATCTCTCACTCTTTTCTATTGTCTATTTTGTTAGTATTTCATAGAATTAACTCTGGGCTCTATTGATCATTACTGTTCCTGCCTTTAATTTCATTACTTCTTTCTTTGGATTAGTGCTCTCTCTCTTTTTTCTAATTTCTTAAGTCCTAATGACACTTAGCTCATTAAATTTCAGCTTTTCATCTTTTCAACATAAGCACCTACAGCTGTACATTTCCCTTTTAGCTACATCTCACAAGTTTCAATAGTGTTTCGTTACCATTCTAAGTACTGTCTTCTTTTTATTGTTGTAGTTTAGATGAAGTTTACATTTCAAGTTAGTCTCCCATACAAAAATTTATACATACATTGTTCTATGACCCTAATTGCTCTCCCCATACTGTGACAGCACACTCTTCCTTTCCACCTGATTCCCCATGACCATTCAACGAGCTCCTAACCCTGCCTTCCCATCTCACCTCTGGACAGAAGCTGCCCATTTAGTCTCTTGTATCTACTTGAGTTAAGAGGCACACTCCTCATAAGTACCACTTTATGTCCCACAGTCCAGTCCAATCCCTGTCTGAAGAGCTGGCCTTGGAAACTGTTTTAGTTCTGGGCTGATAGAGAATCTGGGGGCCACACATTCCAGGGTCTAAGTATTTTCTAATTCCCCTTATGAGGAGTCAGTGAGCTATTCAGAAGTATGTTTTAAAATTTCCAAGCATGAGTTTTTTTTCCTCCAAGTTTTTGTTATTGTGCTTTAATTACGTTATAACCACACTATATAGTCTATATGATATTGCTTCTTTGGTATTTGAGATCTGTAAATGTTCCAAATGTGCCTGAGAAAAAATATATATTCCTTAAGTGTTGGGGAAAGATTTTGAAATACATCTATTAAATAAAAAAGAAACAGAAAACCTGATTAGGCCTGTGATTAGAGGCTGAATTGTTAGTCAGCTCAGAACGGTACTAGAAGTGAGGAGAAGAAAAATCAAAGGGATTAAATTCTTTGTTCTATATTCTGTATTAAGGAGAATTCGCAGACTTTTTAAAAAAAAAAAAAAAAAGAGTGCTCATAAAGCTATAAACAATCCAAACGGAAACTAGGAAAATAAAGTTACAACATGCTTTTTGATGGAAATGATTTGACTTATCAGTTTACTTCTTTGATATTTACAAAGGCACAGGGCAGAATCACATTCACTTTCCTAACGGTATCATTGTAAACAGATTGCATTTAAGAGTTCTTAGTTTGCTTTGGAATTGACCAGTAACACCCTTAAGCCTTTTCCTTCCCCTCCAGGCTCCCCAGCCCTTTGGGAGGGGTGGGGGAATAGTTGGTGACAATTGATGCACTTTGTCAAATCCAGTCCACCTCCTTCCACAGGCAATAGTGTGACTTGGCTTATTTTTCATCTAAAGTCGTTAGCAGGGATCAGCAGGTAGTGTCCCCTTTCTCTGGAACTCAAATGATCATTTCACTCCTGTCAGCTTGAGAGTCCAAGCAAACTTAACAGGGAGAGCAGAGAGTGGTAACTGAGGCAGGGAAATGAGGAGGCCTTGAACTGGATTTGGGGACCATTTCAGATCGCCTTCGAGTCCCAACATCACTATCTGCAAGAAACCAAAAAGGGAATCCAGTGAGTACAGAATGGGGTCTGACATGGTGGGAGACACCATGCTGGGTCAGTGAAGACAGTCTAAAAGGGGAATAAATATGGGAGAAACCTGGGGAAGGAAAGAAAAAGTAACAAAGGCCTGTCGATTTCTTTATAAAAAGGGACATCTTAGAAGGGACTAAATGAGACTCCCTACCTTTGTAGTCAAGGTAGTTTTAGGGGATGTAAGGTATAAGACTCCATCTTCTGGCCAGCGCAGTAAAATGGCATAAACATCTGGTCCTTTTGAGGTATACCTGGGAAGAAAGAAACATCATTGTCAAAGGTACATGGCTTGCTACCCTGACACAGTCTCACACATTCCCCTTTCAATTAGCTCCCATTTCCAAGACTCCGAGCCTGTCCCTGCTACTAGGAAACACTAATCTAATAAGTGGATACCAGTGAAGGTCGATGGGAAGGAAGCAGCCTCTAAAACGCTTTTTGGGCATTTCCTCCATTTCCCCTCTCTGCATGGTTATTCAGTTTTCTTTCAAAATTGTTAACTCTTCTACTAGTTATTTCACACAGAAGCCATTTAACTTATTATTCAAATCTTTTCATCTCTAAATCCAAGTCAAAGTAGGAGAGGCTCTAACAAGGGTGAGATGAGTAATGAAGACAAATTTGTTGCTCTGAGATTTCACCGTGTTTAGAGAAGAGGGTGAAAATCACTAAATGGAAACTCATCCAAAACAGAGGGATTAACGTGTTTCTCCTGATACAGAGACCTGGGCTCTTTAGTAATAATGCCAGCAGTTCTCTTTTACTGAACACTTATTGTGTGCCTGGCACCAGCTGAGGCTTTACATACTTTATCTCATTCAATTCTCACAACAACCCTATGAGGTTAAGTATCATCACCTCCTTCTGAAGTTGAAATAACTGAGGCCCAAGATCAAATAACTAAAGCCAGAATTCCAAGTGTGAATCATAGCTTCTCTACTTACTCCAGGCATACTGTAGGTGGTATTCAAGCATTAGCTACTACTGATTTTAGAAGGCAGGGTAACATTCTCAACTAGACTAACTGACACTTTGTAGCTCCTTCTCTTCGCACCAAGCCCACTGCCTCCCTCACTAGTCAAAGATATCCTGGTGGAATAAGACATAACCCAAATGCAGCACACATTTTATAGCAAAAGAACAGCTTTGGGGTTTCTTCAAGAGAACTTCCAGCCTGGCCTGCAACATGTGGACCTAAGGAGGTCACAGTTGAGGATGGGCCACAGCCTTGTTCCTGCACGCAAAAGAAGGTAAGACTCACCAGACAGATGTCGTGTTCTTATCTGACTGCACCCTCCATGGCTCAGAGGCATAGATAGCCTCCCCACTAATGCTCAGCCACTTCCCAACAGCAAGAAGCCTTTCTTGGAAGATGGGAACAATCACTCCATCCTTAGTTGGTCCAATGTTGAGAAGATAGTTGCCTCCCAAACTTACTGCCTGAACCAGTTCCTGGAGAGAGTAGAAACAGAGAAAGCCTAGTTATGAATGCCAAATCTAACACAATGCTTAGGACACAAATAAGCTGAAAAAAGAAAAAGAATCTAGGGCACATTCTCCCTGCTTTGTGAATACCCTTGACTCTTTTAAAAATAGCATCTTTATTTTTTGTCATTATAAAAGCAGAACAGATTCATATGAGAAAACTGAAAAATTCATGCTACAAGAAGTACATTAACTTGAATTCCAGGGGCAAAGAAAGCAATTGGAATCGGAGGCGAGAGGGGTGATGATTATGGGCAAAAAAAGCAATTGGACTCAGAGTGAGACTGTACTTCCCATGTGCTGTGTGCAGTGGAAGGAAGGATCGTGTGTCAGAGGCACAAAATGTGGGCTGGGACGCTGAGAAAGAAAGCAGCTGGCAGTGAAGTGATCACATGGAGCAACGCAGAGAATACAGGGAACAGAGAGATTTTGAGCGGCTGCCGTGGAGACTTTGGGGAGATGGAAGACAGATGAAGGATTTCAGGATGCTCTGCTGCTGTGCTACGGGCTGACGCCCTTCAGGAAAACATGCTGTAAAGAGATACTTTCTTCTAGGCTTCTAGGGTGTGTGTTTACCATGAGTGTTTACCATGACCTTGAACAGATGCACTTCAAGGAAGCCAAGTAAAAATAAGGTTACGTACAGCAATTTTATAAAACAAATTCAGTAGCCCCAGATACCACACCATTAACTTTTGATGTTTCCTTCCAGTTTTTATCTTATGCAGTTAATTTTACACAATTGCGACAATGCTGATAATACGTAACTTATTTTTTCACTCAACCCTCTAAGGTTTAACCCACATTACATTCATAAACACTTTAATGGTCAAAGGAAAATTCCTAACTTAATTTGAAAATTATTCTGGGAAGAACATCTCCTTTGGTAATTATAATTACATCCTTAGGGCAGATTTATATTAGTATGTTCAATCACTGCAAAGGGGTCTATCAATTTACACTTCAGAGTGTTTCCGTCGCTCTTAGTTAGAAGACTGTTTTGAGAGAAGTCGTTAAAAAATAACTCAGAGGCGCTCTTACTGAAATGATTTCCTCTTCACTTGCAATGCTTGCCATCACCATGTTGCGACGATAGCCCCAGGATAACTTGTCCACGGAGGTGCACATCTCCCACTTGTGACCTGGCAAGCTCTCTGGCATGTATTTATCTTGACAGTTGTAGAATCCTCCATGGTGACAGGAGCAGTTTTGACCCCACCGGTCATTTACTACTACCTGATCCTAAAGGAAAGAAGTGTACTGGGTCATCAGCTAGCTTCCTTAATTAAAGCATTTTAATAAATGAAGAGTCTATGTGGAAGCAATGAAAAGACTTAATCTAGAGTGTTACTGTTGCTGTGTGCTATGAAGTCGATTTTGACTCATAGTGACTCCATGTGACAAAGTAGAACTGCCCGATAGAGTTTCCTAGGCTGTAATTTTTACGGTAGATTGCCAGGTCTTTCTCCTGTGGAGCCACAGAGTGGGTTCAAACCACCAACCTTTTGGTTAGCAGCCAAGTGCTTAACCATTTTGCCACCAGGCCTCCTTAGTCTTCAACCAGGAGCAATTTTGCTCCTCAGGGGACATCTGGCAATGTCTGGAGATATTTTTGGTTGTCACAACTGGGGTGGTGCTACTTGCATCTAGATACAGGCCAAGGATGCTGCTAAACATCCTATGGTAAACAGGACAGTCCCCTACAACAAAGAATTGCCCAGTCCCAAATGTCAATAGTGCCAAGGCTGAGAAACTCTGTTCTAGAGATACATATTGTCAGAGCTGGGTGAGTCTGTTTTAAAGACCATCCAGGAAATCACTTAGAGTTCTACTAAAGAGAGAAATGGAGGTTCAGAGGAGAAGACTCGCCTGAGAGCACAACTCCTAGGCAAGGGGAAGCTGGAACTATGAATTAGGTATCTCAATCCAGCCCAGGAGACTTTCCACCATGTAGCCCTGAAAAGTCAGCAATCAAATATTCTTTTCCTTCCTTCAGGGTTTAGCTGAACTATGAGAAATCATTACCTGGAATATCCTAATGTCAATGTTTATGCAGTGGTATATTTTATAACAGGGTGGTAAATACAAGGTATAACTGAAAACACTTTCAACTCATCATGGCAAAAAGGAAATTTTTAAAAAGCTTAAAATCCCTATTATTTCCCTGTTTTAAGTTCATTCATACTGCTAAGTAAATTTTTCCTACAGCTAGTAAGTGCCAAAACAAAACAGAAGAACATTCATTATCTGAAGCTGAGTTTGATCCAATGTCCTGTATTCAATTAGCAATGCCTGGCATCATACCCAAAACCTAACATGTTGCCATAGAGTCGATTTTGACCCACAGGGACCCTACAGGACAGAGTAGAACTGCCCCAGAGGGTTTCCAATGCTGTAATGTTTATGAAGCAGACTGCCACATTGTTCTCCCGCAGAGCAGGTGGTGGGTTCGAACTGTCGACCTCTCAGCAGCTGAGCACTTAACCACTGCGCCATCAGGGCTCCTTTCAGGGTCTCAGAACTGAAAGGGGCAACGCGTGATCATCATGGGCTTTGAGGTCCACCCCTGGATCCACCAACTACTAGGCTAGTCAGGGGGTCTTAGGCAAGTGACTTCACATCGTTAAGCCTCACTTGCCTTATGTTAAAAAAAAAGAAAAAGAAAATATCATCTACCTCACAGGGTTTTTAAAAAAGCAAAAGTGATAGTGTGTCCTGGCACAGAGTGGTCGCTCAATGAGACTTCGTTCCTGTCTGCTTCACTCACTCCCTCGTTCTCAGCACCCTCAGATAATCTATACTTCTCCCTGCACACTCGGCCCTTCAAGACACACTGCCTTGAAGTTCTTTATAACCGCACTCTCTAACTCAGCACTCTACACGTTTGGTGTTCAGGTCAATGTCTGTGGATTGTGAAGACCTCATATTTATCACCTTGTAATGTAATTTGTTTACATGTTTGTCTTTCTCTTCGGACTGGGAGTTCCTTGACAGCAGAATCTGTTTTATTCAATTCTGAAACCCCTGGGCTTAGCACAGGGCACGCCACAGAGCAGGATTTCAACAAATCCTTACAGAAGCAGAAGAGAGTCTATGATCCTCGTATATCTACACGGAGAACATGCAGGTGGATAGACACCACCACACAAGGAGAAGCAAGCTGCCCTGGTTGCTCTGGAATTACTGTTTAAGAAAGGCCAAAAAGACTCAGGGCCCTGACTAGTTAAGCTTTCAAAATGGCATTGGGGTTATTTTCTCCCAGTCTTCCAAACCTGTATCTTTGCCTAATCTTTTTTCCTTTTTGTGATGCTCCTTATCATGAACACTTGCCTGTAATCAATCCCACACAGCAAATGACCTGGCTCCGTGGGTACGTGTCCTGAACAGGTATGTGAAAGCCACTTCAGAGAAAAATGGGGGATTAGAAATCCTAATCCTTCATTCAGCACTCCCCTATTTAATTAATAACTACTTACTCAGTAATTACTGTAGGGCTTATCTTGTTGACAGGTACTGGGGTATCCAAGGTAGATAAAGCACAGTCCTTGCAGACTGGCAGAGGCGAGAGATACGTGAACAATAATGGTATGACCTCACATCAGAGTTAATCATCTAGAGATTAGCATAAATAGGAATACTAACCCAGGAGTGTTTCTTACTTCTGTCAGGAAAGGATATAAACTGTCAGGAGCCAGACTCGGTTAATACTCAACCAATATTTATTATGGTTCTAACATGTGCCAAGTACCGTTCTTGAGGCTGGGGATATAGCAGCAAATAGACCAAAACCCTTGCCCTCATAAAGATAACACTTTAGTGGGAGAGAAAGACAATAAACATGCTAAATAATATCTGTAATATGTTAGACCATGAGACTAAGAAAAAAATAAAGCCGAGAAAGGCATACGGTGTGACAGGGGGCAAGCTGCAATTTTAGACAGGCGTACTAAGTAGATGACATCTGAGTAAAGGCCTGCAGAAAGCGCTGGTGTGAGCAGTGCAGGAACTGCAGACAGAAGAAACAGTAAGGGTAGGGGCCTACTTCTCCCGATGACTAAAACACCCACCCTGCTGCCTTGTAGGAACACTATACTCTCTGTGCAGACTGCAAAAAGGAGAACAGAAAGTGTCAGAAGTGTTGGAAAGAGGATGGAAGTTAGCAGGAAATGAGAGCAGGAGCCATCATCCAGAGTCTCTGCCCTTCCTCAATTATTCTCTGAGCTACTCCGGACAGCAGAGATCACACGTTTACCATCTGGTTGCCTTGTTAAACAAAAGCAACCCAAATTTCTCCTCAAAATACTTTCCTAACATGAGTATAGTTCAAAATAACTTGTTTGTAGATGCACAAGAAAGCTTTCAGAAGGGTGAGTGGAACAGGATCTGCAGTGTCTCCAAGGCCCAAGTCTGAACCACCCTCAGGGAGAATGACAATGATGCATGGCTAGCTAGAGGCTGCCACACATTCAACAAGTCCCAGTAAACCATCCTTAATCTGTGTTTATTTGTCACCTTGGATCTCTGTCCCTTCTTCCTTTCTTCTCATTTTCTCTGTTTGGTAAGAGTTACCCAACAAGCTCATTAGAGGCTTATGACTCTACCAAGTTACCTCAGTTCAAATTGGTTTTATACTTAGAGTTTTCTTCAAAATGCACAAATTTAGAACATGCATACAAACATTTAAAAATTTTCTACAGTGAAGATTAAGATTTCTGCTACTTTCAAAATGTACCAAAATACAAACCGTAACTAGGTAGCTGTTATGTATTGGTTAATAGTGTTGATTATGGGGAGGCAGCTAGGTGTAAGCAAAGTTCCCTCAAGAATGTTGGTATAAGGTTCACCCTTTTAACTCAGCATTGAAGCCACTCCTGAGGTTCAACCTTCAGCCAAAGATCAGACAAGCCCATAAAACAAAATGAGACTAAGGGGGCACGCCAGCCTAGGGGCAAGGACGAGAAGGCAGGAGGGGACAGAAAAGCTGGTAATGGGGAACCCAAGGTCGAGAAGGGGAGAGTGTTGACATGTCATAGGGTTGGCAACCAATGTCATAAAACAATATGTGTATTAACTGTTTAATGAGAAACTAATTTGCTCTGTAAACCTTCATCTAAAGTACAATTAAAAAAATTAAAAAAAAAAAAAAAAAAGAATTTGGATATAAGGGAAGTGAATTTGCCCCTTGAGAAGTAAACTGTATAATCAACATAGAGCAGATGAGGTTATAGGGATATGCATTTTATTTCTATCATTTAATTTTATGTTTTTTGTATATTAATTTTTTGGGTGATTTTCCCATTTATAATGTTTGCTTATTAGAGTTTTCTTTTTTGTTTGTTTGTTTTTATTTTCCCTGTGGTGGTTTGGGAATTCTACATACTATTTCTTTTCTACTACTTAAATTTAACAATATTTAAACCTATGTTTGTCAAAATTAAGAATGAAAGAGAAGACCTTAACATCTGTTAGGCGCCCCTTACCCACCACCCCAGTGTTGATATCACTATTTATTACTGCTGCTCTTTGGTTATTGTTATTACTCCAGGTCTTGGCTCCTGTACTGTCTTTTATCATAAATAATAAATAAGAAATAAGTCATATAATTACATACCTTGACAGGGCTATCATTGTAGAGCCAAGCAAGAAAATCTGTAGAGTTCCAGTAAGTATCAGGACATTCCCACTCTCCATCAGACCAAATCAGGTCAGGCTTGTACCTGAGAAGACATGAGATTATCAGGACAAAGTTTAGCATTTGAATGCATTCACAACAAAGTCTTGTGAACCTATTTTTGCAACAAACATTTGTTTTATGCATAGTTTTTTTTTCTTTTTTTTTATTGTGGTGAAAACATTAACACCAAAACATCTGCCAAGACAACAGCTTTTACATTTACAACTCAATGACACTGCAACAAACATTTTAAAATTCATTTCCCTCCATTTTGAAAGTAACATAAGATTACAATATAGAATATGTGAAAAACGAGAGAGACAAATAAGAACAAACAAAACCCACTTTACTAACATAACCATTATCTAATACAAACACAGCATTTTGGTATATTTTCTCCTAGTCTTTTTCTTTATAAAGGAGCCCTGGTACACTGGTTAAAGTGCTTGGCTGCTAACCAAAAGGTCAGTGGATTGAACTCACCAGCTGCTATGCGGGAGAAGTGGCAGTCTGCTTTCATAAAGATGTACAGCCTTGGAAACTATATAGGGCAGTTCTACTCTGTCCTACAGGGTTGCTATGAGCCAGAATCAACTCAGTGGCAAGGGGTTTGGTTTTGTTCTTTATGCCCTTTTAGAAAATGGAGTTGCAATCAGCATATTTACAATCTGGTTTCCTTCCAGTAACTAATTTCAATTATATCAGTGGTGCTGCAAAACTCTAGCACTAGGGTTTCTGCTTTTACAATGTGTTAAGAGCTTGAACTATTCCCCCAAATGCATTTCTTTAGTAAGTACCCTAAAGCTTCTACTATAAAGGACCTACAGAATCCACTTGCGCGCCACTTTACCTTTCACATATTATTATTGAGCCCTATAAGGCAGGCATTATTATTCCCATTTCAGAGAGTGAGAATCTGAGGCTCCGAAGGGCTATTTGTTTTAGGAGACAATGCTTGTAAGTAACAGGAGCTGGAACTCAAATGCAAATTTGCCAAATGCCAAACCTATGCTGTGCTTTGTAATCAGGACAGTAAGTAGATTCCAGCAAAAAGATGGCCAGCCTAAGTGACAAGCTGTAGCACAGACAGGCTGTGTTTTACTCTGTGCAAGAAACTGTACTAAGCACCTTATACTCATTACTCACTGACTCAACCCTGCTGTGTACTCTTCTCTCCATTTCGCAGGTAAAGAAACAGATCTAGAAAGATTAACTAGTTTGCTCAAGGCCACACAGCCAGTAAGAAAAAAAACCTAGCGTCTCAAGTCCAGTATTGTCTGACTCCAAGCCTCTGCTGGTCTCTTACAACCATGCTATCTCCTTAGAGAAATCATCTGGACAGAATCTGGATACAAGGAGATTTTTTTTTTTTTTTTTTTTTTTTTCGGTCTAAAATGAGCATTCAGGCAGAGATGCCTGCCTTTTAAGCTTTAAGGGTCCACCATCCTCTATGGGCCCCCTGATGCCAGAAGGACAAACTAGGGCTAAAACGTGGTGAAGACTAGTGACAAATTCCAAAGTGAAAGCAATCACTTTAAGAATAATGATACTAATAACAGCCTTACTATGTACGAGGCACGGTGACAGGTACTTTGACATATTATTCTGAACCCTATAAGGAAGACTCCTTACCTGGTGGCACAGTGGTTAAGTGCTCAGCCGCTACTGAAAGACTGGTAGTTTGAACCCAGCAGACACTCCACGGGAGAATATGTGGCAGTCAGCTTCCGTAAAGATTCAGCCTTGGAAACCCTATGGGGCAGTTCTACTCTGCCGTTTAGGGAAACTATGAGTCAGAATTGACTCGACAGCAGTGGATTTTGTTTTGTTTTTATAGTAAGGCATTATTATCCCCACTTTACAGAGTGAGAATCTGAGGCTCAGAGGGATGATCTGTTTAAGGTGACAAAGCTTGTAAGTAACAAGAACTGAAGCTCAAATGCAAATCTGCCCAATGCCAAATCCTATGCAGCGTCCATCAGACCAGGCTGCCGCTTCCCAGGGTCCTGACAAAGGCAAAACAGCTCACAAGGAGAGAACTGCCGTTGTGACTTACCACAATCCTGGAGTTTGATTGTTTTAACTTGCAAAGGCAATATGGCCTCATTACAGAAGTTTTGAAAAGTAAGAGGGTGGGGGAAAAACAACATATTTTACCTTAATATAACCATCACTTTTATTATTTTGATGTCTTCTAGTTTTTCATATGTCTTCTCCCCCTTCCCGCTCGTCACACTTAACATACCCTTAGAAGGCTCTGATTTCATTGATAAAAGTCACATGCCAGAAATATTTGTTTCTTACCTATTAACGAGATCATACAGCTCTGGCATTGTTTTTGAACTCACAAAATACTGTGTCTTGAAGCCATTTTTCTTATCAAGTAGGTAGAGCGGATGGAACCACTCTAAGAGTGAATGATAAAGTCCATAACGTATGTTCCTCAAATAGAAAAACAGAATAGCAAATGTCATTAAGTAAAGAAAAAACAATTTATCTTAAGTTCCAGCATTATCACATCTCAATGAAACTCACCCATAAAGGCATGGAGGAGGGTGGGATCCAAAACCATTTCCTCAAATTATCTCTTATTCACTTAAGGAAAAAAGACTGGGCTAACGTGTTTTTGATAATACACACAACTACTCTTTACACATAAATATTTTAACACCAAGAACGTCATTTAAACCATTTTTAAGGCAACTGTCTTAATAATTGACACAGTCCTACTTTTTTAAAACTTTCTGTCAATTATAAAAAATACATATTGTAGCGAAATTGGAAAATAGAGAAAAGTATGAAGAATAAAATATCCAAAATCCTATCCTCAGAAGTAATCATTAGTAACATTTTCCACAGTCGAAATAAATGAATATACAATTATTGTTTTATTTACCTAAGATTTACTGATAATTCTAAAATGAAACATGGTTAAAGTGACCTATTTTCATCACAATAAAGCTTGTTTTGGGTAAAGAATGGTGAGTGTTACAGAAACACTATAATGCAAGTTATATTATATACATAATGCAACATTATATTACATAATGCAAGTAATGTAAAGATAACACTATAATGGCACAAATAAGGCAGAAAGAACTGAAGTATTTCATCACATAACTTGGACTAGATAGATAAAAAGAAGGTAAAATCACATCTCTTAAAGTCCATATCTAATCAACATCTCGAATTTTACAGCAGGACTACTAACAAAATATAGCATTGGGAAACTGAGTATTGCACAGATAACAGGAGTCTGCAAATTTTTTCTTAAAGGGTCACATAGTATTTTAGGCTTTGTGGGCCATTGGTCTTTATCACAGTTACTCAACTCTGAAATTGTAGCTCACTGTAGCTGTTTGTAGCTTGAAACTACCTATAAACAATGCATAAACTAATGGGTGTGGCTATGTCCCAATCAACCTTTCTTTACACAGACAGCTGGCCTGCCCCTGAAACAGGACATCGTTTACCAAATCACCACAGAGCCGAGGTTGGGAGTGCCATGGGTACCACTTTTCCTCATTAGAGGCCAACACCCAGAATGTAGGGTCCAGCCAGAATAAACCAAACCCAAACCCAATGCTATTGAGTCGACTCTGACTCAGCAATCCTATAGGCAGAGTAGAACTGCCTCTTACGGTTTCCAGGGCTGTAAATCTTCATGGAAGCAGACTGCCACATCTATCCCCAACAGAGCAGCTAGTGGGTTCGAACTGCTGACCTGCTGCTTAGCAGCTGAGAATACCTGAGTTTAAATTCCAGCTCTACTTCCTAGCTCTTTGATCTCAGGAAGTTACTTCCTATTAAATGGTAAATATTAAGAATCATTCATTAGAATCTTAATTATGTGCCTCCTTACCTCACCTTTTGCTGCTCTAACTGTCTTTTTTGGTCTCCTATTTGATCTACCATTTACCTAAACTTTCCCTGGATGCCTGCAAATCTCTGTGCTGACCGCTAAGGCCTCCATTAGACACAGGACTCAGGCTGGAAAAGGCCCTGGGTTGGGAGGTTCCCAGAGGGACTCCTTCTCAGACTGCACATGGAGCTCCGTGATCTGTGCCAGACACTCTCCACCTAACCAGACACAGCCACGAACGGTGTCATCCTTGGCCATGTGAAAACTGCCAACCTTCAAGCACTGCTAACTCAAAGGCCAGAAACCCTTCAGGTTACCTCAAGTACTTGCTAAATGCAGACTTAGAAAACACAGAAGAGTAGAGAAGGTATGGAGTACCGGATGGCTACACGAAAAGAAATGACAGAGTAACCGTCCTCAGACACACACCTCTTTCGGAGAGCTGTTCCCAGCTCCCCAACCAAATCACGATGGGGTCCCAGGTCCTGAGAGTTCCAGTTCCAAGATACGGGACTCGGCCAGTTTGTGAAGCCTTCATGATGCTTTGCGGTCAGGACGACATACCTGTGGACGTGAAAACCACGTGAGCAAAGGAAGTGGGTAGCAGATCGGGAGCAAGTTCATGCCCAGCATGCCCGAGGTTTTTAAAACGGTTGGAGAACTTGACTACAGGAAATGTACTTGTATGAGTGACTATATTAGTGATACCCAGGGAGTTGCTGCAGTCACAAGTCCCCGGGGATATTGTTCCAGGAACAGAAGCAAACTTGAGAAAGCCACAGTCTTTTGTCCCCAGCCAAGCAGAAGGCCCGGAGGGAAGAAAGGAGCAGTAGGGGAAAAGAGGTGAACCACAGCTCTCTCAGTCTTCAACCCTTCTGAGTATACAGGATTAGCTTTTTAGACCCTTTGTCCTCAGTAGAAAAAGATCTCTATTAGAAATACCAGATGATAGAAAATTAACTTGTTTGTTTTATCGAGCCTCTATGAATTGCCTCTCATGGACAGAGGTGATAAAGGGCTATAAGTATTAAAAGAGCTGGGAAGAAAAGGCAAGTGTTAAAATAGCAACCAAATAATTACAGTTTTATTTGCTTTTTTGGCAGAAAAACAAATACTGTCTACATGTGATAATATAATCACTGGCTGGTGGGGGGAACTCCAGGAACTTAAAAAGAAAGGCTATCAAAACTATGGTCTAGTTCAACTGGCATAACACAGTTTATAAAGAAAATGTTCTACATCCTACTTTGGTGAGTAGCGTCTGGAGTTTTAAAAGCTTGTGGGGTTTTAAAAGCTTGTGAGCAGCCGTCTAAGATACTCCACTGGTCCCACCCTGTCTGGCGCAAGGGAGAATGAAGAAAACCAAAGACACAAGGGAAAAATTAGCTCAAAGGACTAACAGACCACAACTACCACAGCCTCCACCAGACTGAGTCCAGTACAACTAGATGGTGCCCGGCTACCACCGATTGCTCTGACAGGGATCACAATAGAGGGTCCTGGACAGAGCTGGAGAAATATGTAGAACAAAATTCTAACTCACAAAAAAAGACCAGCCTTATTAGTCAACAGAGACTGAAGAAACCCCGAGTATAGCCAAGTTCGGCGTGTTTTTGCACTGGGGCATCTCCTCGGTACCGGTCTGGGGCAGCGAGTGGTTTTGGCGGCATTGGAAGGGCGAGGGGCTGTTTCCCAGATTTTAATTTTTTTCATTTATAAATTATAGATCTCTAAGGCCCCTAGAGGTTGGTCCCTGGGTGGAGCAAATGGTTTGCACTCAATTACTAACCTAAAGGTTGGTGGTTCAAACTCACCCAGCAGCACCATGGAAGAAAGGCCTAACAGTCTGCTTTGGTAAAGACTGCTAACAAGAAAACCTAGGGAGAATTTCTATTCTGTAACCCATAGTGTCACCAGGAGTTGGGATCAACTTGATAACAGGCTGTTTTTTGTTTTTTTAAGTCCCCTAGAAAAGAAAGAGAAGCCCTGTGGCACAGTGGTTAAGAGCCCAGCTGCTAACCAAAAGGTCAGCAGTTTGAATCTACCAGCCGCTCCTTGGAAACCGTATGGGGCAGTTCTACTCTGTCCTACAGGGTCACTATGAATCAGAACCCACTTGACAGAAATGGGTTTTAGAAGATAGAGAAGAGTCCCTAAGTGGTGCAAACAGTTAAGACCTCAACTAATAGCTGAAAGGTTGGCAGTTTGAACCCACCCAGAAGCACCTCGGAGGAAAGGTCTGGCGATCTACTTCTGAAAGGTCATAGCTTTGAAAACCCTATGGAGCAGTTCAACTCTGCACACATGGGGTTGCCATGAGTCAGAATCAACTTGACTTCAACTAACGACAGAAGGCAGAGAACACTTCGCCTGTGTATTTGTGTCTTATACTCCCATACATTCCAGTAGCAAACACTAAATGCCAAGAGTAATTTCTCTTTAATATAAGTGATACCAAAACTAGGACTCAGAAGATGACTGAGGAGCCAATGTATGAACAGAAGACTGCTCTAAGCCAAAAGCAGGGGAACCCTCCCTGCCTCTATTCTTGCCCTCCTACAACTCACTTCCTTCCCACCAGCCAAACTAATCCTTCTAGAACCTGAGAGCTGTGTGCCATCGAGTCGATTCCGACTCACAGTGACTCTATAGGACAGAGTAGAATTGACCCATCGGGTTCGTAGGCTGTAATCTTTATGGCTCCCAGTCGGGGAACTGAACCCCGGTCTCCTGTGTGACAGGCAGGAATACTCACCACTACGCAAATAAGGAAAGCACTGGTGAGAAACAAGGCTCCAGGAAGTGACGGAATACCAACTGAGATGTTTTAACAAACGGATGTAGCACTGGAAGTGCTCACTTGTCTATGCCAAGAAATTTGGAAGACAGCTACCTGGCCAAACTACTGGAAGAGATCCATATTCATGCCCATTCTAAATGAAGGTGATCCAACAGAATGCGGAAATTATCAAACAATATTGTTAATATCACATGCAAGTAAAATCAGGCTAAAGGTAATTAAAAAATGGCTGCACCAGTACATGGAAAGGGAACTGCTAGAAATTCAAGCTGGATTCAGAAGAGGATGTGGAATGAGGGATATCATTGTTGATGTCAGATGGATCTTGGCTGAAAGCTGAGAATACCAGAAAGATGTTTACCTGTGTTTTATTGACTATGCAAATGCATTTGACTGTGTGGGTCATAACAAATTACGGATAACATTACAAAGAATTCCAGAACATTTAATTGTGCTCATGAGGAACCAGTACACAGACCAAGAGGCAGTCGTTCAAACAGAACAAGGGTATACTGCATGGTTTAAAATCAGGAAAGGTGTGCGTCAGGGTTGTATCCTTTCACCATACTTATTCAATCTGTATACAAGGAGCTCTGGTGGTGCAGTGGTTAAGAGCCTGGCTGCTAACCAAAAGGTCGGCAGTTCAAATCCACCGGACGCTCCTTGGAAACCCTATGGGGCAGTTCTACTCTGTCCTAGAGGGTCACTGTGAGTCAGAATCGACTTGATGGCAATGGATTTGATTCAATCTGTATGCTGAGCAAATAACATGAAAAGCTAGGCTATATAAAGAAGGACGCAGCATCAGGATTGGAGGAAGACTCATTAACAACCTGCGATATGCAGATGACACAACCTTGCTGAAAGTGAAGAGGACTTGAAGGACTTACTGATGAAGATCAAAGAATAGAGCCTTCAGTATGGATTACATCTCAACATAAAGAAAACAAAAGTCCTCACAACTGGACCAAGAAGCAACATCGTTATAAATGGAAAAAAGACTGAAGTTGTCAAGGATTTCATTTTACTTGGATCCACAAGCAATGCCAATGGAAGCAGCAGTCAAGAAATCAAATGATGTATTTCATTGGGCAAATCTGCTGCAAAAGACCTCTTTAAAGTTTTAAAAAGCAAAGATGTCACCTTGGGGACTAAGGTCCACCTGAACCAAGCCATGGTATTTTCAATTGCCTCATATGCATGCAAAAGCTGAACAACGAACAAGGAAGATGGAAGAAGAATTGATGCATTTGAATTGTTGTGCTGACAAAGAATATTGGACTTACCATGGATTCCAGAAGAAGCAACAAATCTGTCTTGGAAGAAGTACAGCCAGAATGCTCCTCAGAAGTGAGGACGTGCTCTGGACATACTATGAGGAGGGACTAGTCCCTGGAGAAGGACACCATGCTTGGTAAAGTAGAGGGTCAGCAAACAGAGGAAGCCCCTCAACAAGACGGACTGAAACAATGGCTGCAACAATGGGTTCAAACATAGCAATGACTGTGAGGATGTGGCAGGGCTGGGCAGTGTTTCATTCTGTTGCACACAGGGTCACCATGAGTCAGAACTGATTCGACAGCACCTAAGAACAACAGTAATCTCTATGGGAGCAGATTGCCAGGTCTCTTCTCCCGCAGAGTGGCTGGTGGTTTCAAACTGCTGACTCTTAGTTAGCAGCTGAGTACTTAACCACTGTGCCACCAGGGTTCCTTGAAGCTGAGAGAACCACTCCCTAACTTAACAACCAGCAATATACTGCTCTCAAGGCTTACTCCTTCATGACTACCCTAGCCTTCAACAACCTCAAGGTTCTTGTCTCCCCCTCCCCAACGCCAGTGCTCTGCTTTTGGTTCTTTACTCTGCTTTCAGTTCTCTGAACTGCAAGCAACAGTAATTCTGGAGACAATTCCAACAATGCTTGAGCACTTTCTATGTGCAAGGCACGGAGAAGAGTGGACATAATCCGTACAGTTTCCCAAACCAGAACTCCCTTCTCTCCCTTTCCATCGTATTAAAACTGAGCTGAAAGGACCTAGAACAATTCCTTCCTATTACTAACGAAGGGGGCTGCAAGGAGGTGAAGTGGTTTGTCCAAAGTTGGTTCACAGCTGAGGTAGGACCAGAATCCATACCACTGGTTTAAAATCCCGGAATCCTGACCATCTTGTCAGCTTGGAAAGGAGATCAGGTATTACCTAGCTCAGTCCTCTCGATATAAAGGTATAGATACTGAGTGCTTTCCAGCTCACCTCTTCCCTGAAACCTTTATTTTCTAGTCCCCCAAAAGACGCACCTTCTCTTGCTTCCCAAGTCTGCATCCTTCAGGAGGCAAAACACAGCACCTGAGGCTATTATGTGTCAGACACACACCTGTGTGGCCTCACATCCCGCCGCTCAGCGTCCATGTCTCCAAACCCCACCACTTATTGCTCCCGTCCGCCCGGGCCCGGGAAGGGGCGTTCCCGCCCACCCCGCGACCACCCACCTGGCCCCCGCCGCGCGGAAGAGGTCGGCCCAGTCGTTCGGCTCGAAGAAGGTGGCTGTGAACTGCGGCCCGAAGTCGGCGTAGCTGAAGCCGGGCGGGTAGTTTTCCTTCATGAACAACTCGTACAGGGGCCGCCCCTCGCCCTTCCAATGCCACCAAAACCACTCGCTGCCCCAGGCCGGCACCGAGTAGACGCCCCAGTGCAAAAACACGCCGAACTTGGCCTCGTCGTACCAGGCCGGCAGCGGCCGTCCGTCCAGACTCTTCCAGTCCGGGGTGTAGCGACGATGAGCCCCATGGCGCGGCCAAGCTCCGCGCCTCGACTGGGCGGCTCTGAGAACCAGCAGCAGAAGCAGCGCAGCACCCAGAACCCCCGGCCGCATCTTCGTGGTACGCCCCGCTGCCCGAGCGCCTCCACCGCCCCTCTTAACGCGCAGGTGCGGGGCGCGCGGTCTCCGCCCACTCTAACTAATGATTGGCTCAGAGGTAAATAAAGGGGGCGGGTCAACCCGAACGGCTTAGCGACCGAGTCTCTTCCCTTTCGGTTCCGCAGTCCCCGCAGCGTCCTCTGGCGCTCAGAGTCAGAAAGACGCAAGGAGGTGTTGAGAGCTCTCGGCTGATGGATGAATGAAAACTTTAAAAGGGATTTAACTGCGGGGTTAAACCTTGGAGCAATCATTCTTCTGCAGCGGTGGGCTGAAGTCAGATCTCAGGTTTTATTTAGTGGGCAGTTGAGAGCCAAAGGGGGCTTTCGAGCTGTAGTATGGAGGGGCCAAACCTGGAGGCAGTGATACCAGATGGAAGGGCGTTGTAACAGTCCTAGCAGAAAAAATAGGACTTGAGGTAGAGGGATGATGGGAGAGAGAAAGCATTATGAGGGGTATGGGAGATGGAAGGAGCCCCGGTGGCACAATGGTTAAGCGCTTGTCTGCTAACCAAAAGGTTGTCAGTTGGAACTCACCATCCACTCAGCAGGAGAAAGATGCAGTAGGTTTCTGTAAAGATGACAACCTTGAAAACCCTGTGGGCTAGTTCTACCCTGTCCTATAGGGTCGCTATGAGATGAATTGACTCGACAATTCAACAACAACAGGTAGGAAAAGGGATGAGGGAGAAAAGTGGGCACCGAAAGAGGAAGAGCAAGTGTGACTATTTTGCCTGTCTAATTTTTATTGAGCTTTCTTTGGGCATTCTGAGTGACTTCAAAGACCTTAGTGTCTAATTGGAAAGACAAGATCCATACACAAGTCACCATGGAGAAACATTTTCAGAGTACCAGGGCCAGTAGACTGAGAGCCAAGAGGTGCCAAGCCCAATGAGTACATCTGCATGATGTGTATCTGTATGAACCTCATCTGGCTGGGAGGTACCCTACCTCCTCCCTAACTCCTGCATGCTATGCATGCTGAGACAGGTGGTGAGACCATCAAGTGTGGGAAGTATGTAAGTCAGTGGTCTGATGTCCCATGTGGCACAATCAGTCCCACACATCAGTGAGAGAGCTGATATGACAGAGTTGGAAGAGACTTTGGAGATCCTCAGAGCCATCCCCCTCCCCACCTCTGCCATTTTGCAGAGGAGGAAACTGAGGCCCAGAGAGAGGAAGGGAGTGGCTAAGATCACACAGCTAGTTTGGGTCAGAGGTGGAACCGAAACTTAGGTCCTTGGATGCAGAATCTACGGCTTTCTCCACGCTTCTCTTTTGCACCCCAGAGGGTGTCAGAGCCTGTGTTAGCAGAACCAAGAGCTTCCTCATTCTGGGAGTGATAAGGAAGCACAGTGGCTGTTTCTGAGTAAACAACTGTTTTATAGTTTGTATTTTGACCCAATCTGTATCCTGAGCAAATAATCCGAGAAGCTGAACTATGTGAAGAATGTGTCATCAGGATTGAAAGAAGACTCAGTAACAGCCTGCGATATGCAGATGACACAGCCTTGCTTGCTGAAAGTGAAGAGGACTTGAAGCACTTACTGATGAAGATCAAAGAATACAGCCTTCATTATGGATTACACTTCAACATAAAGAAAACAAAAATCCTCACAACTGGACCAAGAAACAACATCATGATAAATGGAGAGGAGATTGAAGATGTCAAGGATTTCATTTTACTTGGATCCACAATCAACGCCCATGTAAGCAGTAGTCAAGAAATCAAATGATGTATTTCATCGGGCAAATCTGCTGCAAAAGACCTCTTTAAAGTGTTAAGAAGCAAAGACGTCACCTTGAGGACTAAGGTGCGCTTGACCCAAGCCATGGTATTTTCAGGCACCTCATATGCATGCAAAAGCTGGACAATGAATAAAGAAGAGGGAAGAAAAATTGATGCCTTTGAATTATGGTGTTGACAAAGAATATTGAATATACCAGAAGAATAACCAAATATGTCTTGGAAGAAGTATAGCCAGTATGCTCCTTAGAAGCGAGGACATCGAAACTTCGTCCTATGCACTTTGGACATGTAATCAGGAGGGTCCAGTTCCTGGAAAAGGACATCGTGGTCCATAAAGTAGAAGGTCAGAGAAAAAGAGAAAGACCCTCAATAAGATGGATTGACACAGTGGCTACAACAATGGGCTCAAACATAGCAAACATTGTGAGGATAGGGCAGGACTGGGCAATGTTTCATTCTGTTGTACATAGGGTCACTGTGAGTTGGAACCGACTCGACGGCATCTAGCAACAACAATAACATTTTGACCCAATGTTTATTCCTCTGTGGGATTATGTTGAAGTATTGTCTAAAATGATGAACATCAATACCTTAAAATAAACTCAATTAGACACGTTATCTAGTGATCAGAATAAGTAATTGGTCTTTGATGTTGCCAAAACATGTCTTGAGGAAGATAAAATGGGACACTGTGACCTTCATTTCTCCTTGTAACCAAAATCTACACCAGCAGGGGCAGGTGAGAGGCACTATGGTAGAGTGGACAGAGCTGGAAGTTAGGAAATCTGGGATTCTTGTACTAAACACCATCTCACGGGGTCTCCTCGGGCAAATCTAGGCCTGTTTCCTTATCTAAACAACGAGGGCAGTTCTTAGTGATATTTAAGGTTCCCCCCACTCTTGCTTTCCCCCTTCTCCAGAAATTCTGCTCTCTCCTTAAAGCAGAAAAACAGTGTAACTGAAGAAGGAGAGAGGCAGAAAGTATGGAAATAACAACATTTAATTCAATGTATTTTTAAATCTAGTTTTATTTTTTCAACAAATGTTTACTGAGTACCAATGTGCCAGGCACTTGGGTATCTTTTATGTTAAAATGAGAGAAGACCCACCAATGAATTAAAAAAAGGCATGCTGCAGCTTTAAGGAATCACAACATACGAACATGCAAATTTATCTTGAAAAAATTATGGTGGGCGTTTCTTTGCTTTACAAGAGGAGCTGGGTTAAAATAAAATTTGATTTTCCACAATGCAATTCACAATTAGCTTTTCAGAAACAGTTCAATTCCAAAATATTGACCAGATCCCTTGGGACTGTATGCTGGGTCCTCGCTGAGCACTGGGTGCCCAAAGGTGAACACAGAGCTCATCATCTCTTGGGGAAGATGAACTAGTGACTGCCATTTAACACAGTCTGTGATACGAGCTATGATAAAGGGGCAAACTTTGTCCTTGGGGGCATAAAATGAAGTATGTTGAGAAACAATTATGCAAACAAGGTTGCAATGACCTGATGTTACTGAGAACTATTATTACTCCTAAGGAGCAGTATTCAAACAGAATTTGACTAAACCAGGCTGACAGGGCTGGCTTTGGAGTCAAACAGATCTGGTTTGGAAACCCCAGCTTTCGCAGTATGACCTCAGACAAGTGTCTTTGCCTCTAGGAGGTATCCAGATACCAAGACCTTCTTTATCAGGTTATTGATGTCAGATGATGATTTATATCTAATGATCAAATTTAACATGAAAATTCAGATGACTAGAATCTCAGCACTGTTTACATATGTTTCTGTTCCAATAGGCTTCTAAGACTGTGATGGAAATGTGCATATCCTATAAGTTCAAAAATCATGACAACCTTGAGTCTATTTCTATTTCGACGGAGGCATTAAAAAAAAAAAAAACCCAAAACCAAAACCAACCAAAAAAACCATCAAGCATGCAGAAGCCAAAGTAGTTGCTTCAAGATCTAAGTACATCTGATATTGACTTCACATCAATATCATTATCATCATCATGCAGTCCAGTGCCTGGCCCAGAGTAGAAACCAAGCCACTTGCCATCGATTGCATTCTGCTCATGCCCACCCCATGTGTGTCAGAGTAGAACTTTGCTGCATTGGGTTTTCTTTTTGTAAAATTTATTTTGTAGCTGTTGTTGATAATATACACAGAAAAATATACCTACATTAATTCAACTATTTTTACATGTACAGTTCATTGACATTGATTACATTCTTCAAGTTGTGCAGCCATTCTCACCCTCTTTTTAACATAAATTCATTGCCCCCTAAAGAATAGATAGGAATATCTAATCTTTCAAGTTGCTCTTGTCACTTTGATCCCATAGAGATAGTTCTTAAAAGTGCATAATGCTCAAGGCAGACATTTTTTACTATGTTAGCTAAGCTATTGTTTGGTTTTAAGAAGACGACAGGGGATATTTTTGGTTTAAGCTTTGCTCCATAGGGTTTTCCGTGGCTGATTTTTGGAAGTAGATCAACAGGCCTTTCTTTTGAGGCACTTCTGGGTGGACTCAAACCTCTGACCTTTTGGTTAGCAGCTGAGCGCTTAACCATTTACACCACACAGGGACTCCAGCACATAGTAATAGCTCGATAAAAGCCAGCCATCATTTTTGACGGAAGCCATAGTAGGTCTACCCTACCTCAAGTTGTATGCCCTGATTAATCCCTATCACATGTCCCTGTTGATTTCTGTCATTGTACCATCTGTAATTATCTTCTTTGTTTACTTGTCTGCCTCTTCACTGGCTCTCTCTGCATTTGATTGTAAAATGTAAGCACCATTGGACAAGGGCAGTCTCATTTATGACTGGCCATCAAGGACCTAGTGGAGAGTCTGGTACATTTTTGTGAGATGGATGTATGATTGAATGAATAGTGGAGACATTCTCTTGTAAGTGTTCAATGAAGACATGTTTACTCAGTATCTTTCCTTCTATTTCATCTGTGCTTCCAAATACTTGCATTAGAATTCCTCAGTAATCCCCCCCATCACCCTACACCAACAATTTCTCTTGTCTATTATTTTAAGCCTCTTGGTAGGAACTCAGTCTCCCTGATATGTAAAATATGGGTACTCTCAGATCTTCAAAAGTGTGGGACTGTATTCTTACTGCATTTGAGATGGGAAAATGGACCATGGGATGCCAGCCCAGTGCCAGGTGCGTAGAAAAGAAATTTCCCCCTCCTCCCAGTTGTTCTGCTTATTATGCATTATTGGGGTGCAGAGAAGGCAAAGGGGGCTGAATTGAGAAGAGACTGGGAACACTTTGGGGCCTATAAAATCTTTGTTAGTATCTCCATTTTTGGAGCTTGGTTAAACAGGGACACTGCCTGCTCCCATTGGCTCCACCAAGCAGGACTTCACAAGATCAGTAAAAAACTGAAGATCCTGTGTCCCAAGAAATTCTAGCCTCCTCCATATTCCCTAGGGACCTAAGAGGTCACAGTGACTGTGAGTGGGGATTAGCAGGTTGTCAGGGAGGGCCCTTGTCCTTATAACAAGATGTCCTGAGCTGGAGGTATATCAGTTTCCTCTGCAAGAGATGGATCAGCAGCCTCATCATATCCCAGTTCTTGGTCCTCATTGAACAAGAGGGACCTGAAGGTGGGGCCTAGGGCATCTGCTTTCACAGCTCCAAAACCAAAAAACCCCCAAAATTAAGCAGGAACAAGGGGCCATTCAGCTGGCCCATACCCTGAGTTCCCAGGAGAACTATCTATTTTCCTCAGATTTCCTCCAAGTCACTCACTGCTGGCCCTGAAGGCCCTCTCTGGCTCCCTATGGTCTCTGAAGGATGCAGGCATGAAGTTATCTTGCTGGGGGTTTTCCTGACCTGATGTGGACTGACCCTGCCCCAGGCCCTTTTGTCTCCTGCCACCCCTCGTAGGGCTTAGCTCCCAACAGTAGGCATGGTCCAGTCATGCTCTGGGGGCCAGTCCCAATATCAGTGAAGAGGTGTACCTATCTAGGCTCCTGGGGTGGTTCAAATAAGATGAGGCAGTCAAGACTGCTCTCTGTCCTCCAGAAAGTGAAATGGTTTCTCACTTGGGTCATTTAAAACTGGGAAAGAGACCTCATCGGCAACTAGAGCTGTGTAGACCTCTGGAATCTGTCTACTGTGTGATTTTCACGTCAACTTCTGTCTCGGTGACTGAAGATCGCGGGGCCTCTTCTTTTCCCTCAGGGCTGAGTCCTGGCAGGTACTTCTTCCAGTGGGCCAGGCAGTGGTGAGCGGAAGAGCGGATTTCCCCACTCCGCAGGGCATAGATGACAGGGTTGACCATTGAGTTCAAAAGGCACAGGATGCAGCAGAAGGTGAAGACCTTCTTGACCTGGTCGCTTAGCTTAGTGAACAGGCTGTAGGCCATGAGGACCAGTACTGGGAACCAGCAAATGAGCAGCACAGCCAGCACCACCCCCAGGGTCTTGGCCAACCTCACGTCCAGCCTCATCCGGGCCATTCCTGGCACCTGCCTCTCCTGGTGCTCAGCCAAGCTAGCTACATGCTGATGGGCCTTCCAGAGGACGTGCCCATAGGTGTAGATTATGCCAGAGAAGAGAGTGGTGATGAAGAGGAGCCAACCCAGCAGATAGTTATTGGGGATCAGTGGGAAAAGCTCAGAGCAGGGACTGGGACAGCAAGTCCATCCCATGAGGGGCAGATAGGAGACCAATGCTGAGAGGACCCACGTGATGCCCAGAGTCACCAGTGCCCTCCTCTGGGTGAGTAGAGCTTTGTATGCAGGTGGGTGGTGCAGGCAGAGGTAACGGTCAATGGCGGTGAGCAGCAGACTGCCCACAGAGGCTGTGAAAGTCATGGTCACGCTGCATATCTTCAGCAGGAAAACAGCCTTGGAATCCACACCATGGAAGACGTGGAAATTTACAAAGATGCAGGTAAAGACCATACTGGCCAGGAAGTCAGCCCCAGCCAAGCTGCCAATGAATAGGTATGAGGGCTTCCTGCGGAGCCGGTGGGAGGACAGGATCAAGTAGAGCACAGCCAGGTTCTCCAGGACGCTTAGCAGGCCCAGAGGGGTGCACAGCACCACAACAGCTATCTTTTGGGGGCCATTCAGGATCATGTAATCCTTCATGAGGTTGAAATCCAAGCCGTCCTTGGAGTCATTGGCATCTGCTAGGCATCTCTCCATGGGGTGGATCCCTCAGCTTTAGCTGAGTTTGCCAAGAAGACTTTGCTGCAGTACAATGGAAAGAAGAAAAGAGTCTTTTCAATCAATGCAATAATGACCTCACACAATAACTGATTCTACTTAAATCCTTTACTTGTGTGGATGAATCATATGTCAAGATATCAGTTTATATTTTGTTCCCCTGTATTTTGCACTTTCTTCATTCAAGAGGGGTGCCATGTCTGTACTGATTGCCTCATGGGAAGTATATGGAATGCAAGAAGCAGAAGTGGCCTGCAAGCTTTTTGGCCTTTTGTTTTCAAAATGACTAATCTAAGACTTCCTTCTGAAAGTAAAGGAAAGCCCCAGGGGTCAAAAACAAAGATGAAATAAAAACCAAGAAGAAATGGAATCTCAAGTCATAAGGTTAATGGGTTTTTTTTTTTGCATTGGTGTTTTGTTTGCCAATTTTGGTAAGTAAGGTGCTGAAGTCTTAACAACTGTTTGGGGATAGGAGATGAGATTTTGGCTTCACACCAAGTGAGAGTGCTGTCGATAAAATATAGGAGTCCAATTAAATCTGAATGTCAGATAACAACAAACAATTTTTTAGTATAGGTATGTATCAGATATTATGTCCTACACTACCCCCCTGCCCCTCCCCCCAAAAAAAACCAAACCAAACAAACAAACAAAAAAACTTTAAATTTCTCTAGAGCGATACACTATCCAGGTCATACAGGGTTCCAACAAATAAAGGCCCATGGAATTTTTTTTTAATAATATATACCCAGAAATTGTGTTTAATATGATTAAACAATAAGGAATAAAAAACATGAGAATAGAATAAGAGACTGCCCAAGCAGATTTGAAGTAGAATCCAGTAAAATTTCTAGAAATGAAAAATAAAGTCATTGAAAATGAAATGCTTAAGGGATAGGTTATAGAGCAGAATAGACCAATTGAGAAGCATTGATCTAGAAAGTAAAGCTGAAGAAATTTCTCAAATTGCAGCATAAGGAGATAAAGAGATGGAAAATATGAAAGAGAGGTTAAAAGGCATGAAGAATTGAATGAAAATGTTTAAAATATATTTAATTGGAATTTCAGGAAGGAAGAATAGAGAGAATTGGTGGTGAATGTGGGGAGGTGATATTCAAAGAGATAATAATGCAGAACTGTCCAGAATTAATGAGACATGAATCCTCAGATTCAGAAATCACAGTGAACCCCAAGTAGAGTTTAAAAAACAAACTAATTCCACATTCACATATATCCTACTAAAACTTCAGAATACCAAAGACAAAGAGAAAAATCTACAGCCAATCACAGATAAAATACAAATTACCTGAAAAAAAAGCCATAATTAAATGTTAAAGCAGATTTCCCAATAGCAACAATAGAATCCAGAAGATAGAGGGAAAAACAAAACAAAACAAAACCTGTCAGCCTTCAGTTTTATACCCAGCGAAACTGTTACTCAAGAATGAGGACAAAATAAAGAAATGTTAAACAAATATAAAGAGAATTGAAAGAACTGGCAAAGACCAAAGCTAGTTCTTTGAAAAGAACAAACTTCAGGTAAGATTACTTAAGAAAAAAGGGGAGAAACCACAAATAAGAAAATTACTATGTATGACAAAGAAATGGCCAATAATCCTTTGAAAAAATGTTCACCCTCAATAGTAGAGAAATGCCGGTTAAATGCAAGTTTCACCCCATCAGATTGGCAAAAAATAAGCCTGACAATATTTGTGTTGGAGCATTATGTGGCGAACGCTCAACACATTAGTGTTTGGGAAGGTGTGGAGCAATAAAAACTCTCAGCACTGCTAATGAGGTTGTACATTTGTACAACCACTTTGGAATTGGTACAAACACTAGTGAGACTGACAATGTGCCTGTCATCTTGAGTGCATCAATTCCACTCCTGGGAATATGCCTAGAGAAGTTCTTGCACGTGTGCTTAGAGAGACATGTACAGGAATATTCATTTTAGCTTTTTTGAAATAAAAGAATTGGAAATAATCTGAATGTCTATCAACTGGAAAATGGGTAAATTGTGGTATATTAATACAAAGGAATACTATGAAGCAATGAAAATAAATTAGAGCTATAGTTATCAATGGAGCCCTGGTGGTACAATGGTTAAGAACTTGGCTGCTAACCAAAAGCTCAGCAGTATGAATCCACCAGCTGCTCCTTGGAAACCCTATGGGGGCAGTTCTACTCTGTCCTACAGGGTCACTATGAGTCAGAATTGACTCAATGGCAATGGGTTTGGTTTGGTTTGGTTGTACTTACCAATAAGGATAAGTCTTAAAAACACAATGTTGTGCCAAAACCTAATCCTTTAGGAGAATTTAGAAAATTTATGAAGTAGATAAGGGAGAAGAGAATTTGAAGGCAGTGGCAGAGTATCTTAGAGAAACAGGAGGAACAGCAGGATTGTTTTCCCAGACTAGACTAGAAAGCAGTGCCTTGCCTGAGGCAAAAGGAAAAATGTGTGCCTCTGTATAGACATTTTAATGTATGCATTTATTTATTTGTTGTGCTTTAAGTGCAAGTTTATAGTTCAAGTTAGTTTCTCATACAAAAATTTATACACACATTGTTATGTGACTCTAGTTGCTCTCCCTGGACTGAGATATCACACTCCTTTCAACCCCAGATTACCCATGTCCATTCAACCAGCTCCTGTCCCTTTTTGCCTTCTCATCTCGCCTCTGGACAGGAACTTCCCATTTAGTCTCATGTATCTACTAGAGCTAAAAAGCACTCTCTTCACGAGTATCATTTTATGTCTTATATTCTAGCCTAATCTATGTTTGAAGAGTTGGCTTCAGGAAAGATTTCAGTTTCGGGCTAACAGAGAGTGCGGGGGCCGTGTCTTCTAAGGTCCCTTCAGTCTCAGCCAAACCATTAAGTCTGGTCTTTTTACTAGAATTTGAGGTCTGCACTCCACTTCTCTCCTGCTCTGTTAGGGACTCTCTGTTGTATTCCCTGTCACCATCTAGTTCTTCTGGTCTCAGGCTGATGGAGTCTCTGATTTATGCGGCCCTTTCTGTCTCTCGGGCTAATGTTTTCCTTGTGATTTTAGTGTTCTTCGTTCTCCTTTACTCCAGTGACTTGGGACCAATTGATGCATCTTAGATGGCTGCTAGCTAGCTTTTAAGACCCCAGAAGCCACTCACCAAAGTGGGATGAAGAACATTTTCTTAGTAAACTTTGTTATGCCGATTGACCTGGATGTCCCCGGAAAAGCATGGTCCCCAGACCCCGCCCCTGCTACTCTGTTCCTCGAAGTGTTTGGTTGTAGTCAGGAAACTTCTTAGCTTTTGGTGTAGTCCAGTTGTGCTGACTTCCCCTGTAGTGTGTGCTGTCCTTCCCTTCACCTAAGATAATTCTTGTCTACTATCTAGTTCGTAAATAACCCTCTCCCTCCTTTCCCATCCTCGTAACCATCAAAGAATGTTTTCTTCTGTGTTTAAACCTTTTCTTGAGTTCTTATAATAGTGGTCTCATGTAATATTTATCCTTTTGTGACTGACTAATTTCACTAAGCATGATGCCCTGCAGATTCATCCATGTTATGAGATGTTTTTCGTATTCATCGTTATTCTTTATCATTGCATAGTATTCCATTGTGTGAAAATACCATAATTTGTTTATCCATTCGTCCGTTGATGAGTACCTAGGTTGTTTCCATCTTTTTGCTATTGTGAACAGTGCTGAGGTGAACATGGGTGTGTCTATATCTATTCGTGTGATGGCTCTTATTTCTCTAGGATATATTCCAAGGGGTGGGATTTCTGTATTATATGGTACTTCTATTTCTAGCTTTTTAAGGAAGTGCCAAATCAATCTCCAAAGTGGTTGTACCATTTCACATTCCCACCAGCAGTGTATAAGTGTTCCAGTCTCTTCACAACCTCTCCAACATTTATTATTTTGTGTTTTTTGGATTAAGGCTAACCTTGTTGGGGTGAGATGGTATCTCATTGTAATTTTGATTTGCATTTCTCTGATAGCTAATGATCATGAGCATTTCCTTGTGTATCTGGTAGCCACCTGAATGTCTTCTTTGGTGAAGTGCCTGTTCATAGCCTTTGCCCATTTTTTAATTAGGTTATTTGTCTTTTGTTGTTGAGGCTTTGCAATATCTTGTAGATTTTAGAGATTAGATGATAAGCAGATTTGTCGTAGCCAAAATTTTTTTCTCAGTCTGTAGGTTGTCTTTTGACTCTTTTGGTGAAGTCTTTTGATGAGCATAAGTGTTTGATTTTTAGGAGCTCCCAGTTATCTAGTTTCTCTTCTGGTGTTCGTGCATTGTTACTTATGGTTTATATTCTGTTTATGCCATGTATTTGGGCTCCTAGCATAGTCCCTATGTTGTTTTCTTCCATGAACTTTATTGTTTTTGATTTTATGTTTAGGTCTTTGATCCATTTTGAGTTCGTTTTCGTGCACGGTATGAGGTATGGGTCGTGTTTCATTTTTTTGCAGATGGATATCAAGTTATGCCAGCACCATTTGTTAAAGAGATTGTCTTTTCCCCAATTAACGGACTTTGGCCTTTGTCAAATATCAGCTGCTCATAGGTGGATGAATTTATGTCTGGATTCTCAATTCTGTTCCATTAGTCTGTGTATCTGTGGTTGTACCAGTACCAGGCTGTTTTGACTACTGTGGCGGTATAATAGGTTCTAAAATCAGGTAGTGCGAGGCTTCCCACTTTGTTCTTCTTCTTCAGTAACGCTTTACTTATCCGGGGCCTCTTCCTTTTCTGTATGAAGTTGGTGATTTATTTCTCCATCCCATTAAAAAATACCATTGGAATTTGGATCGGAATTGCATTGTATCTGTAGATCACTTTGGGTAGAATTGACATTTTCACAATGTTGAGTCTTCCTATCCATGAGCACGGTATGTTTTTCTACTTTTGTAGGTCTCTTTTGGTTTCCTGCGGTAGTGTCTTGTAGTTTTCTTTGTATAGGTCTTTAACATCTCTGGTTAGATTTATTCCTAAGTATTTTATCTTCTTGAGAGCTATTGTAAATGGTATT